TTAGGATTGAAGAGGCTAGAGTGCCTCAGAGTGGCTAGAGTGAGAAGAAGAAATGCAGCACATTAATAAAACACATATTTTAAACTCTTTTGGTTTCTTTTTAAAAAATATCAAGTGACGGGACGAACAAGTCGTGCGCCCGATGGTAAGCTACACGCCTGTCCATAACAGTTGCAGTGCGACTCAGAACTTTACATCGCAAAAATCTGAGGGGCACTGCCTCTGCGCCCGTCACCCTAAGGGCGCGTTCCCACTATGTAGTTACGGCAGATTGTCGTGCAGTTTACAGTGTCGTGGCTTGTATATTTAAATGAAGTTGTTCACATATAGCACGACACGATTAACTGTCGTTCACGATTTTTTATCGTTACAACGACAAACTGTCGTCACAGTGGGAACAGCTAGAACAACAGTCGTCAGATGATAAAAACGTGACGACAGATTGTCGCAGCTCCTATTGTCGTCACGTTTTATTTATCGCTGTCCGCACGTATTCTGCTCCCTGCCCTCCCCTCTCGTACCCCGTGACCTCTGCTCGCCTTGCAGTAGCGTATGAATTGTCGTCACGATCTAGTGGGAACAGCTAGTCTCGACAGTCGTTCAACGATAATAAAACGTGACGACATAGTGGAAACGCACCCTAAGACATAATTTGACTCGTCTCATGAGCCTGTAATTTCAGATTTACAACTCCCTATAAGCCGTTTTTTGTATCTTATTTAATTTCAGTTTTATTGTTAAGCAAAGTTACCGTTGACATTTTTGAAAGAAAAAAAAACTAAGTGCCAAAATAATCTATCACGTCCACCCATCTATTACGTATCTGGACATAATTTCAGGAAACATTAAGATTTTGTAAGTCCTTCTGCATAAACTTGTCATAGACCATTTGATACCGGCCGCGATGTAACAGTTTTGGTTTGCTCTAAATATTTCCAGGATTAGTGAAATCCATCTAATCTGATACTAAAACAGTTGTGAGGGAAATGTAATTAATTTTCAATAGAACTTCTAAAGAAAACTGTTTACTGCTGAAGTTTGTCTTCTCGAGGCACTCATGATTCAAATGTTGTGAATCGGCAATGAAAATTGTATTTGGTTTCAATTTTACATTATATAATTTCGTTGGTTCGTCGTTAATATAATTTAGTTGGATGAACTCTTTGAGCTATTCAGTAATGAAGCAATCTCGACGACCTCGAGTCGACGACCAACGGTTTATTCTGTGGGAGCTGGATGAAGAGGTCCCGGGTTCGATTCCCGGTAGGACCAAATTGGGAAATGAACTTCTCTAAACTGGTTCCGGTCAGGGTGCTCTAGGGAGTGCCGCAGAGTGAATACCGTTGCTCTGGTACTCATAGTACAGGGAAATCTCAAGTTTGAAACCGGACAATTGGAGTGGTTTTCTGGAATATTATTTTTATTAATCGGAGTTTACGATTTAATTTGAACTCTATGTAACTAACAATAACTGCCTCTGTGGCCGAACGGTTACCATACCGGACTGTCACGCAGAGGTCCCCGGGTTCGATTCCCGGGCCGGGAGAAATATTTGTATGGCCTACATTTATTTCTCTCGTGAGTTTGGGTGTAATTTGTGGTTGTCTATGTGTGTGTCCATGGCACCCGCGACACAAGGTTTCCCTAGTGTGGGGCTATGTTGAGTGTGTGCGTTATTATTATTATTATTAATAAAAAAACGTCAAAGTTTCACCTGTAAAATACTATACTAGACTACGCGTTTTATTACAAATGTCAACTCCAGGTGTTATATAAGTATATTCACAGACCACATTATATTCCTTCACTCTCCATTCAAAACCTCTCTGGAATGTCTTCCGAACTTCATCAGAAGGTCTCCTAGTTTATTCTCTTTCAAAAAGAATGTCTATAAGCATCTTTTAAATTGTTTGTCACAGCGATAATCATCATTATCATCTTCTGTTATTGTATGTATCATATAAATATGTATATAGGTATTATGTATATAGATATGTATATATTAGGTTTGTTGGTTATATATATGATTACATATTTATTACATTTCTGTTATTAATACAATATTAATTTAATATTTCATTTAATTTGCCGCATTCGTGAATTTCGTTTTCCTCAAAGATTGACTGGCAGAGAATGCTATTAGCGTTAAGTCGGCCTTTTGTACCATTATGTGTTGTGTCAATAACGTTTAATAAATAAATGAATTATCAGTAATAAACAAAAAAGTTGTAACTTTTATTAAAATAAAACCGACCGCAAAAGTTCGTGGAATTACATCTATTCGCCAAATTATATTGAAATCGGTTACCGGAAAAGTCGCGTAACCGGATTCATCCCCTAGTTTGCTACCCTTAGAGGTGGAATATTTTCTATTAATTTTTAAATTTAAATGGGACCAATACGGAAGTACCCTCTTTCGAACAAAAAAGAATCATTAAAATCGGTTTACAAATGCCGCGTTTAGTTAGTTACTTTTACTTAATTATCGCGTAACATATAGGTATACAAAAAAAATACAATCGAATTGAGAACCTCCTCCTTTTTTTGAAGTCGGTTAACAAACATCTACAAAACTTTACTTTACAGGATCATTGTACGTCACTTAAGGTAGTCACCATACATATCGACATTGCCTTGACCTGGTCAGAAAAATCTTTATGTCCATGTAATAATAGCGAAAATGACATTGTGCGCGTCGTGTCGGATGTCCGAGAGGAAGCGAAACGCCTTTTCGTTCTTACTGCATGGACTAAAACTTTTTCTAACTGTCTTAAAGCGATTCCTTGTTATTAATGTGGTGAGTCCCTAAATCAACAATAAGGGAGATTATCAAAAAGCAATAATAAAACACCATATAAAATAATGCCAATGAGACATTGAAACGGCAATCAACGAACAGTTTTCAATACTTAATTTTATAATAACATCCGCTTAAAGATTTCATAGAGGTCTATCAGACCTTTATTGAAGAACAATGTGTCATCAAACAATCGTTAAAAGATCCTTACTTGAATAAAGACCACACGCAATAAATCATATTAACTATAATGCACTGTTGTTAGACTATATAAGCGAGCTCCTTGTGAAAGAGTTCGTCTAGGGTAGTACTGCCACCATACCTATTTCTGCCGCCAAATAGCGAGCAGCGTTCCATTTTTGTAGGATATAGGTGCTGTGAAACTTGAATATGGAACTGGTCAACTGGGTGACGGGCACAGTAGCAGTACCCACAGGTCTTTGCGATTCAAAGCTGTGAGGGGCACTGCGATTGTTATGGATAGGCATGTCGTTTACCACCAGGCGGACGACTTGCCGTCACTTCTTGTCATCACTTTATATATAAAAGAATATATAATATATCGTGAAAAAATATACTCAGTAACACTTAACCAACCTACCAACGGAAACGGTAATGAAAATTGAAAGACGTCCTTAATGTGACGGGTATTATCCGTCAAGACACCTGACTTAAACACGTCTTTTATTTTCATATGAAATTTTTTGTTGTTTGTACCTATGGATGAGTAAAAGAGGATTGTTAGTTGATGTCATGTTTTCAAAACAGTAGCTAATAAAAAATTTTGTTTTTATTATATTATATTATATTATATTGTCGAATAAGACCTCGCATGTACCATTTACAGAAAGGTTGAATAACGTCCATTATGTGTGTGATATCTTTCAAAGCATTGCAGATATCAGACTTATATACGTCCTCAATTTTTGTATATAAAGGTGATGAAAAAAAATAAGATTCTTGAAGAAGGTGAAATAGGGGATGAAAGTTTGTATGGAGAACCAATCAAACTATGGAAACTAATACAGTACAGTAGGCTACTCCGACTACTCATTTTACGAAGACGAAGTCGCGAGCACCAGCTGTAATAATAACAATAACAGTGTCATATAAAATTTGAGGACGTTTATAAATCTCCTATCTGCAATGATATCTGGAATGCTTTGAGGGATATCAGTCACATTAACGACGTCATTCAAGTTTGATCACTTTTGAAGAATTTTGGTATAAAGATAAATATCTATCTCTGTACCAAATTTTCAGGTTCATAGGTTTACGCGTGAAATCGTAACAGACAAGAGTAATAACTTTCGCATTTATAACATTACTTTGGATTACTGAATAACAAAGGGATTGTCACCTAAAATCGGCTTTTAACAGAATAGTATTTGATTAAGTAATATTAAAAACTTAGTCGTAATTAATTAACGAGAATGGTATTATTGGGTGCTACTATTTCAAAGCTTACGCTAGTAGAGAAGTTAATTAGAATTTTCCAATTAGTGTATAAGCATTTCTAATTAAGAGCTGCCGACAAAACATTGGTCAGTGTATAAAAGGTTTCTAATTGAATAGATGGCACTTTTTAGGCGTATTGTAATTAGTGAATTGTAAAAACAAAACATGCGTAATGAAAAAAGAAACAACACCGCCATAACATAAAGAATTTTAATTTTTTTTATTTAATGGTTCTGATATTATAAGTTGTTCAAATTGGTGATGATTACCACAATGTGGGAACTGGTTTGTAGAACTATAGAATATTAGAAACAGAATATATGCACATAAGCAATAAGTTTAAAAATTATTTAAAAAACAAAAATCCGACTGCAAAAATAATTAGCTGGAAAGATAAAAAAATATTCCCCCACTCACTATTTTGATTATTTTTATAGCCTATGACACTCCCGCAATCAAGATGAATCTAACAACACCACATATATTAAAACCATTAAGCCGTTAAGGTGTACAGTCGGGTAACTTCCGCAGTCGGGTAAAACCAACTGTAAACATAAGATGTCGCGTTCACATAGTCGATCTTTTCAGTACTAAATTATTTGTTATAATAAGCGCCTCACACACGCACATTTACACAGTTTTCAATGTAGGCCTTTTCCCCTTTATTTTCGACGATCACGGGTCGTAGAGTCCACTCACAACTTTGGGTTGAAAGAACCGTGACGCGACTTTAATAGCAACTTACCCGTATCTCTGGTCACATCGAAAAGTTTGGCTTGGAGGTATCTATTTGGAGGAACGCCTTTGGCCAGAAACAAGCTTCCTCGGTCAGCTGCCGTCAGCAGACACACGTTCACCAGGATCTGAAAACAACGAGAGTAAATTCAATATTTATTTATTTTAAGATAGAGTAGAGTAGACTAGTGGATCACTAGATGATACAGCGTAATGCCATAGTATAATAAGATGAGTATGTAACTCAATACCTACTCATCCTGCGCAGCGTAGGGTTGGCACATTATTATTTTAGTTGAACGTACAGGTTGCCAATTTGAAAAAAATAAGCTATTCTCGCTATTCATCACAGTATTCTCGTGCTAAGTAGAAACAACCTGAGTCAAATGTAGGACATACATATTTATATTTTTATATCACCATCGCGTACCTATTAGTATCATGAAATAGGAATTAAATGAAAATTATACATTTGACGCAGAATATTATTTTATGCAATCGTTGCGTAATGAGAGTTCTTAAAGGCGAATAACCTAGGTACGAGATTTTAAGACCTAATTACTATGTAATGATTGCATACAATAGTTTTTGTACGAGTAAATATAATAATTAAACAGAACCAATATTTAATGTATATTTTGTTAACAATCATGACGACAAACGCAATTTGAGTTTTAATAAATTTTAACCCATACATTAGGGTAGGCAAAGGTTCCACCATACAGCCTCTTCATATATTTAGACGAAAGCCAAACAAACGCTACGAAACAAAATATCAAATAGATAGATTAGAACTGGCCAAACACCGCATATATTTTAACTAATAATTTTTTTTATAAAGAATTATGGCCCGAGTGCAAGACTTTCAGGCCAATTTAACCAATTAGGAGGCAGTAAAGCGTTTGAGTAGCGTCATAATTGATATTTTAATTAGCAAAAATACGACGTTCTTCTTTTTTGAAACTCATTATAGTACTGTGCACAGAAGTTTAATGAAATTTTTCAGCTCAGCGGTGTGTACCACAGACAATAGGATTTTGATTCAGAACTAAAACGAGCGCCCTAATATGGCCTTAATGATATGGTTTATGAAATTATAATTGACAGATAGTACAAGAGTAGAAAAAAAAATATTTTAAACACTGAGCGCACACGCTTATGCGAATGTGTGCATTCATTTAAGTCGCGCTACTAAGTTTGTTTGTAACACTCCTTGTCTTACTGTCGTACTATATTACTAATACGACGCATAAAGAACAGACGCATAAGTCCTTTCGGATTCGATACGAGCTGGCCAGGTTATACTCATACCTCTGTATAATCGTTTTGATCTTACTTCCCGATTGCATCATTAGTGAATCTTTGGGGAATTTATTGCTCCCCTAACAAACAATAAAACGGCCTCATGAACTTTGTGAATTATAATTATAATTATTTTGTTTCGAGGTTTTTACAGGATTGTATCAAATCGAGCAAACAATTTGCAATCGCTGACATGACAATATTATGTAATAAAAACTGTCAAACATTTACGGCGAGTGTGACACTCTCCATGGCGACTCTCGTCCAAAGAGACTGCCACAGCCAGCCGGTGATAATAGGCGGCGTCTAAAGCCGTCACAAATCCACGTAATCACGTTTAGGAAACTATTAAGCCCATTTGATCTTTAACTAATAAGTTCTTATTTAAATACAGAATACAAATTTTAAAATTATAACACCATCGAGGTCTAGCTGTTTAAGAATTGCTATGCACATAGAGCCAGTTAGTTTGAATTTTGATAGTGAAATTTTTTAACCTCTGGATATGTGTAAAGAGAGTCTTAAAATATTAGATTCTAGATGTGAGTAACGTGCATGTTTCAATCAATTTATTTGTAATTTTAATAATGTTGTATATTAACAGAAAAAAATAAACTTTGAAAGTACCTGAAAATAGAATAGGTAAACAAGAACACCGCACGTAACAACGCACAATCACATAGATATTTCTGTGCTTTGTGCGTTGCACCGCATGCACGTGCCGAGCGATTTCGTATCTGTTAACCCATTGGGTAAGAGGGTTAATCGTATTTGTTAACCCATTGGGCATGTGAGTTAATGGTTTTTTTATAGCAAACTTTCAATTATTTTTTGCTAAAGTTCTTTGTTGTGACGGAACGACCATGTCGTGCGCCTGGTGGGAAGCGACACGCCTGTCCATAACAGTTGCAGTGCTACTCAGAGATTTAAACCACAAAGATCTAAGGGGCTCTGGTTACTGTGAGGCATAAGTTGACAAGTCCCATGTGTGTGTAATTTCACCATATCGGCGATCAATGCTTTACTTTGCTATTATTTAGATGGGCCTCAGAAAAAAATAGTATATTTACTTTGTGATTATACTGGGATGCAATTATGTTCTTGTTGATGCCATACAGTATCGTAAAAAAGCGTTGAAATTATTTCTCTACGCCAATTAAATTTAATCTGTTTTAGATTTTTTGTCCGTTGTCTTAACATCGCAATTAGTCAGACCAATGATGAAAAGCTTTGCTTGATATCTCGTGATATAAATTGCGGATTTGCGTAGATTTGTTTGTTTGCATTGTTTTTTTTGTGAGCGGATGGGATGACTCTTTTGGAAGGTGCTTTTTATGAATTCAAGTTTTCAACAGTTTAAAATGGTGGTCTTTTACGATGCTTAACACTTCCGGAAAATATTTTATGAACGCAACTTTTCAACAATTTAAACAGTAGCTTTTTTATGAGGGACTACTCTTCTAGAAGATATTTTTATGAGGTCAAGTTTTCAACAAATTTAAACAGTGTTTTTTTTCTGAGGGATGACTTTTCTAGAAGATATTTTTACGAAGTGAAATTTTCAATAACTCAAATGGTGTTTTTTGTAAGGGATATCTCTTCTGGAAGCTATGCTTGTTCTTTTGTGACGGATTTTTTTTCGAAGATGCTTTTTAGGAGTTTCAATTTTCAACAGTTTAAATAGTATATTATTCTTTAATAAGGCATGACTCTTTTAGAAGATGCTTCTTATTATTCACAGATTAACCAGTATTCTTTTGTGAGTGTTTGACAGATAAACTAAGGAAAACTATAACAGACGTGAAAGATGAGATATTTGAACTTTGAGTATAACAGAGTTTGTATCGCCTTCAAGTAAATCCCCAGATAGACTGAAGGATCCACGCCGACCCATGACATGTACCTATGCGATTACATCGAATCCTAACGGATTCTGTGTAATACTCGCGAATTTGAAATAAGATATTTTTTGCTCTTTAATACTAAGTAGATAACGTAAATATAACAAATTGTTCAGGAATAAAATCAAGTTTACGAATCAATGTGTCGCAATCGCGAAAACCTAGGAACTTGATATATTCAGCAATGTATAGGGGAATCAACAAACGTTGATGTAAAAAATATATATGTAGGTTTTTATGTATTAGTGGTGTAAGGATAGATCATGAACTAAACATAATAATTCATATCGAGATGGGCGAAAATCTATAAGTTTGTACGTAATAAAATACTTAAAAGAACATGAAATCATAAATAATAACACACTCATAGCGCTACACTAGGGAAACCTTGTGTCGCGGGTGCTATGGGCATACACACATAGATAACCACATATTGCTCCCGGCCACCGAGGCAGTTGAATCATCAACGTGATCTCGTTATATGTCCCACTGCTAGCTTGCCTGGCTTAATGCGGGTTGGGGTCTTCACGCGTTTTCAATAGTTGTGAACTTTCTTAGACGTGTAAGTTTTCAGCAAGTTTTCGTTCACCGTTAGTGAGAGGTATTGCTTTTAAATATATACTCGGAATATATAAATTATAAAAAAAGATAATAGAGTAATATATAGTTAAGTTGAAAAGGTTTCTTTTGCTATTTCCTGCATGCGGTGTTTACCTGTAATATTAGCTGTGCATTTAATTTAAAACCACAAATCAATATGCCTACTATTTAAGTCATAATGTAATAGCTGTTGGTGGAAATTAGTATGTGTCGACATATGCATTCGAACCGTCGCCTTCGTAATTGAAAAGCGAATTTCTTCTAATATTTTACTCTAGCTCTTTATTGCCACGTAAGCAAATAAAAATCGTAAACAAAATCTTGTTTGAAATATTTTAAAGCTAATTGTATTTGTTTCATGTTTTTTAACATTACAAATATTGTGTTTTTAGGTTTTCGCGATTTCTACCAATACTGTTGTTTAACTGGCAGCTGTTAGACATCTTCAAGGGTGATGTAATTCTTTTTTTTAACTTAAATGGACTTGGTTTTGATCTATCTAGACCTGGAGCAAAGATAGGGTCTACGATGGCATGAGCCATCGAGTATATAACCACAAATAGAGACGAAATAAGGGTCATCCATCCTTGGCGACTCATTAGGCAAATGGGCCTTACCTATATCATTTTTAAATATCAACTCTCGTTTGCACTGAAATCACATATTAAAAAGGTGATAACGCCCGTAAATTGTTTCGAATTCGGACTGGCCAATCGGAGAGCAATTGTCACCGTAATGATATGGCAGAATAGTTTTTAAACAAATTAAATGACATTTCGTTTCTATTTCTGGTTATATACTCGATGGCACGAACTCACCCAAAAAATGCCTGTTCAGTCGCACCTTAAAGATGCTTGGATTGTATGTGTTCAGAAATACAGTCGCAGGCAGGGCATTCCATTCCTCTCTGTACGCCTGAAGGGAATATTGACCAAGTAGGGATGTTAGCCCGCCGTACGTCTGGATGTCCAATGGTAAACGAGGGCGGGCGTAATGAGCTGATGGAGTTCATGTGCATACGCACCGAAGTGTACTCTGTAGAAAACCGACAGCCTGGCAACTTTGCGCCGGTGTACTAAACTATGAAGTTTAGGTTCGAGTTTATCGTCGTCAATAAGTCGTCTTGGCTCTACACACATTCAACAGCCTCTAGTTAATATTTCGCTGAGCCATCCCACAGGTGACTACAATTCTACATGCAAGATCAGATTTGCGCTTTGTACAGAATTAAAAGCTGACGAGGCGAGTAATATCGCTTCATCTTATTACGAATGACCCGCTTTTTGGCAATTCTAAGCAGTGACGCTCATCCGTGTCGCCAATTG